ATCGCGAGGACCACCCATCCTCGAGCGACTTGATTATTAGTCTTTGCGAATGTAGATGGCGCTTCGAGGAGCTTAGAGGACGAATATTTTGTTCTTCGAACGGTACTTTTCCAACAAAAAAGAATCATCGATTCACAAATTTAATGTTGGAGTAACCGCGTAACATATACAAAATAAATAAAAAAAAGACAGTCGAATTGAGAGTCTCCTCCTTTCTTAAGTCGGTTAAAAAATTTGCTTTTCGATATACGAATGTATGTTGAATTATGGAAATTAGTCACTGCCTCTTATTTCACTTGTTTCGTATCTAAATCCAACACATTACATTTACTAATAGGTATCACTATCCAGTGGAGAGTTCAGCAAATAGATAAGAAAAGCTGCTTAATTTAAGTAATGAAGTTTCATTATGACCAGTGAGACGCAATTTTTTTTTTCTTTTTAGTTCATTAGTTCACTCACAGTTATTACAATATAACATACATATAAATTGCACAACTACTTAGGAGTGAACACAGCTTGCAAAAACAACGTAAAATGTAAATTATATGTATAGAAATTAAAAACAGCAACTCAAATAATTATTAATACAAAAATCGAACACTTAGAAAAAATTCCTTGTATCCGGCCGGATTCAAACCGACGTCTTCTAGCTTACCGCGCCAGACGCTATACCAACTAAGCCACAGGACGAACCAGCGGACCTCACGAATTTTTATATGTGCTTGCGTCGTATCTTTGTATTTGGTTTTTTTCAACGACTTTTTAGTCGTAGCGCCATCTATGATAAATCTATGAAAGTTTTATCACCCAGTTAGATATCTTTACAGTTACCAGCCCTGGCGAGAAATGTCGCTATTCACTGTATTATAAATTTTTATTGAATTGATATTCAATTATTTTTTGTGAAATTATTCCACTAGGTTGTTATAATTATTAATACAAAGATCGAACACTCAGAAAAATTCCTTCGATCCGGCCGGATATAACTAGAGGAATAATTTCACAAAAAATAATTGAATAGCAACTCAATAAAAATTTAAAAAGCAACTTATTTTTTTTTTAAAAAGGATAAGTAATACAAACAAATCCAATAAATACTAGTGAACAAGGGTCTCCGACAGCATCCAACTAGATGGCGGAAAAAGCGAAATTTGTGCAGCGACTGCCAAAATATATCGCAAACGTGACTGTGTTTATTATATAGTCTGCAGAGCCATACATATAATATGACCATGATTACACAAGAATTAAGTGAAACATGTAACAACCGCTAAAAATTAAAACAAAATAAAAAAGACTTGTACCTAGTTTTAAAAGGCTCGGTAAACAATACAGGAAGTTTCAAAGGACACTGGATTAAGTATTACAACATATCCAAATTCTATTTACCTACGTGTTTTTTTTAACCGCCAGTAATAGTATTACTCGTTTTCTAGCATAAGTATAGGGCCGACTAGTGCGAGGGTCTGTTACATTTCAAATTAGAGAATTTGGAAATTCGTAAGCAAGTTTTCTCTATAAGATTTTGCTTATCCAGCTCGAGACACCTTGCATATAATGTCTCCGATTGATTTGGCGATATCCAGAAGGATTCACCTTATCCTGTGGCGAAAGATACTTTCGGTTCCCGAATCCGTACTAGTGTGGGCCATTTTTCGGCACTTTGCCGTAGAATGAAAATTTTCAATGATGTTAACTTTAAAGCATAGACCTAGTAAGCACATCCTAGGTCTGTACTTTAAAGAAGAAGTTGACATCTTTCACGACTCATATAATTAGTTCAAGCTAAATGTGACAACTGCTCTAAGGGCGCCTTTAAATTAGACGCTTGTTGAAGCGCTGCAGGCGTGACAGTGGCGCTGCAGCTGCGCTTCTAAATATTGTATGAAAATTAGTACTGTACTTGGTACTTGGTGTAACGGGCTGGTGTCCGCAACTCGACGTCAAGGCGCCTATTTTGCGTGTATTAGTACTGTAGCGCCACAGTGGCACCATTAGTGTAGCGCTTCTATAAGCGCCTATTTTAAAAGCGCCCTAACGATTGAGTCTTAGGAGTTTTGTTCGATAGTAGTTTTTGTCCCTTAAAACATTATATTATTTTATTTTCTATTTAATTACAATTTCAAAATCTTGATGTTACTTTGGGTAATAGCGGTTTACGTCTTTAATGGCAAAATATACTGTATAATAATAACGCACACGCTCAACATTGTATAATAATTTATATGACAAAACAATGTAAGTTTGTCTATGTATGTGGCAATGATGCATCTAGACAAATATATAAATAAATTGCCATACAATAGACAATAAATCCTTGATCTTACATGTCCTACGTAAAGTAATGTAAGGGTTTCACTACACTTATTGACGCGTATGTAATTAAGCCAGTCAAAAAAGACTTTACGTCCCTATAATAAGAGTAAAAAACTCGCCGCCGTTCGCCGGCTCGAAGGCTCGAAGGACCCAAATGTACGAGCTGCTTGTCTCGTGCAGTAGTATGTCAGAATATGTCAGGAGATATCAGCGAGATGATGCACGGAGATGTCAAAGATGCTGTAGAAATAATACTCGACCGATGTCGCGGAGTAACTTTATTGTACTATAAATTATAATTTATAAATTATGCACGTGCCCAATGTAGGCCGCGACGTTGCACATTGTCAGTTGCACAATAATGAGCGTTGACTTGTACAATGGACATAAAGATTTTTCTGACAGGCTTATGCGATTCCGTGACGATGAGTGTGGTGACTCCTTTATGGAAATTGATTCGTAACGTCTGTATCGTGAATCACGTTTGCAGTAACTAAATGATTATGTTTTTTCTGAGTATTTAAGTTTTAAAAAAGGGTTTCAATTATTAATGCAAAGATCGAGCACGCGTCGGTTGCTTGAAGGAATTTTTCTTAGCGTTCAATTTTTGTAGATATTAATAATTATAACAAACTAGTGGAGTAACTTCACAAAAAATTATTGAATATCATGGTAGTAAAATATCGTGATTAACGATAAACTTAAAAATTATTTAAGTCTTTCCATTAAGTTTCCATTCCCAAAGTGGTCACTTGTCTCAAGTATGCACAACATAGCCTTGCCGTCCATAAAATCTAGACCATGATTCTCGCGTGCAACCATTAAAGCATTATGTAAAATACAAAAAAAAAACATCGCCCTTCGACATTTGTTGCACCGTAATTTATGTACTATAGGTATTCCCTCATTTTGTTTACTATTCATAAAATCCTTTATTGTTATAAAAACTTACCTAAACATTTTCAATTTATTGCAAAAAATTGAAACAATCATCATCAACCCATTCATACGTCCCACTGCTGAGCATGGGTCTTCCCTCCAGGCGAGTGTTTAAGCCAGGGGTTCCCAAACTTATTTTGTCTACTTCCCACTTTGAGAATAAATTATATTTAGCGCCCCCATTTTTTCACCTACTTAAAAACCACTATAACTTCAAATTAAATTAACTATTGTGAGCTATATTAGCGGAGATTAAACATTCATTCTAAACAAGACTTTTACTATAACCCGCAAGAGTTAACTTAAGACCTGAACGTAGTAGGTAGTACACAACGGCGCTCAGGTCTCCAGTTAACTCTTACTTAATGAGAATGATTATTGAAACGCAACTTTATGGTATTCAGACAAAGTATCTTCATCGGGATCAGTTTTTGTAGCCAAAATTCTTGGTAGCCATTTTTGAACTTGATTTTTATTTCCTCGTTTGTTGTCAATTCAATATGGTCTTCTTCCAGCTGCGGTAATGATATTGCTGTGTTGACATTTGAAAACGGATCCAACACCCAGTATGGTATTTCCAAGTTCAAAATGTCCTGGTATCGGTCGGTGAAGTCAATGTGGAGGTTTTCCAAATGTTGGCAATACACACACGACAAGTCGTCGTTACTGCAAGATACTGATAAATTTGGAAAACTCTTTGTGTCTACTTTCATTTCAAAACGGAGCGACCAATTGACATGATTTTGTTTTATTTATTTAATAAATCAGGACAGATATATGAACTACACGGAGAAAAATATCGAACTGAGGTAGTTTGAGCAATCTCTTAATTAATATAAAATTCAGTCGGTGTCTAAGAGTCGTATTCTAGAACTCTACTCAATGCTCAAGTCAGGATTTGAGTATGGTTTAAAGCACTCGAAATCATACTCAAGTCCCTGCCATTAGGGTCGTGTTTCCAGTGCAATCCTGACTTGAGCATTGAATAGAGTTCTAGAATACGACCCTAAGAGTCTTCCTAGAGGAAATTACAAATCTCCCCCTAAGCCTCTAGACAACGCCCCCATTTCTTTTTCGGGGTCTCTTACCGCTTTCGTGGGCGTTATTGCCCACTTTGGGAAAGGCTGGTTTAAGCCATAGTCCACCACGCTCGTTGGTCCAATGTTAGTTGGGAACTTCAAATGTTTTTCGAGGGTTGTCAACCTTCTTCGACGTGCAGGTTTCATCACGATGTTTTCTTTCACTGAAAAGCTCATGGTAAATTTGAAATTAAATTTTGCACATAAATTCCGAGAACCTGTGAGGTGCGAGCCCGGATCCCCTTGTATTTCGATATGAATCCGTGGTAGCCTAATAGTTTTACCTGCCGCCTTTGTGGTAGTTGCCACTCGTTGTGTCTCCCATTCGGCATATTAATTTTATCTGGAATTAATGTAAACTAGTATTTAAATTCAGTACCGAAGTGAAACGAACCGATTTTGAAGTATAAAATTGCTTTCGTGCACTTGAAGGTTCTAAAATTACTGTTTCATGAGAAAATAAAAATAGCTTAAACTAACTGCTTCCGCCGTGCAGTGGAGTCGGCTATCGATTACTACACCGTCTCAGTTTAAAAAACGTTCGCTTTGCGTCTAATACATTGGCGCGAACAAGACTATGAAACTGCAATTAGCAGGTCAAAACAATTTTTGTTTGAAAACAACTGCGAATTATTGCTATGGACCCACCAGTGCAATTACCCACGCCGTCGCCGTCGACACTTCCTATCCACTGGCTATCACTTCAAATACAATATCAGGTCAGTCGGTGTCAAATTTCTAAACAGTAGATACATCAGCTTTTAAATTTTATATTCAAAGTTAACTAACGTCTCAACTTACATTTTCTTAAATGCTAATATAATTTACTTAATTTACTTACTGACTCATTTGATTTTTTACATATAACGAAACTCACTATTTATTTTTGCTTTTTTTAGGGTTTCCCTCTTTAATTAGGCACCGTATATAGAGCTAAATATGTAATGTATATGTACATACTAACATTTAAAAAATAATTATTTCTCACAGTATACATATCACTGAACAGTTCTCATTCTCATCAGATCTTGTACGCCGCAGTTTTTACATCCTTTTTATCTTTAATCTCGGACTGTTTTGCATCTCAGATACACAAAATAAATTATAAAGTTTATACTGAAAAACAAAAAACAAGCAAGCGATGCACAAAGTCGTTAATTTGCGGAAAAATTATGTCGATATGTGATGGAAGTTCATGGAAGTGTTTAGTAAATTTTCCCCGGCAAGGAAAAACTATCGGTTGTGTTCAATAAGCACATCGTGTACTCTAATTAACAACATAACGGCACGCCAAATAACGCCAATTAATCAATAAGAAAAAAGAAGATGATGATTTTTTCAGCCAAACCAATTCAGTTCTGTTCAGTGTGAAACAAACCATAATGATCGTCTGCTGTACCATGTTAAGCGCATCAGTTGTTGGAGACTACCATGCGACTCATAACAGGAACAAAGTTGAATTTGCCTATGACAGTCTTGATGCTTTGGAAGACTCATACGAGCGAATAAATGATTTTGAACAACTTTTCACTATTCGTACAGAGGGTTGACCCAGCGAGAGTTTTCTACAGCCAATAAAAAATTCGGAACACTACTCAGTCAATATTCGGCATTGTAAGAACAATCAATATCCCCTACTTGGTAGTAACGACACGAATATTTGGGTTATATCTAAACATGCGGAATGGTATGCAATACCTAAAAATGCAATTATTCGATGCTGCTACAAAGGTCTTAAAATACCAAGAAGCAGTCTTAATAGAAATGGAAAATTTGAGTATAAAGGTTGTATTAGTTTCAATGATACTAATACTAGGGGTAAATGATGAATATGCCCGGGTGATATGCGGCTATAAAAAAAAATTATTATATGAATGCCTGCAACTGCAGCTTTTTTGAAAGATAAAGGAGCTATAGAATTTATGAGTTACAACACAGCAAGTAATGACCTCCGTGTTACAAATTTGATACCAGTACTCACGGGATTGTTGCACTATGAATTATAAAAGATTTACTGGCTGGATCCCTTAACTTACTTTAGACAGATGTCCACTAATTTGGGACAGATTTAAAGACGATACGGATATTTTACGGGTCTCTTAGAAGATGCTGCAAAGTTAAGCATATTAAATATTAATCACTTCAAATTCCCTGGATTCTCGTATAGCCCAACAGACTATTATTTATACCCCTTTCCCTAAGAAGTAGAAAATTCCAAGGTAAAATCCTTACTGTCTGGGCAGCAAATTTGCTTTTCAATTTATGTTAGATGACCTAGTCGATATTAACTACGACATTAAAGCCCTTCAAACTATTCGGTATATTTTGGGAATCGTTGGTTACTTACAAAGACCAAAACAATCCAATGTTATTAGATTACAGTTATAAAACTATGATCAAAAAGCTTGATGATTCTGGTTACTTAAATAAAACCGTATTAATTGAGCTAAGTGACCATGGTGCAGTTACAGATATATGACGAAAACTAAACAAGAGTTGAAAGGCTTGAAGGAACGGCTGCCAGTTATGTATATTTTACCTCCGCATTCATTCTCCAAGGATACAACTCTGCTTACGAAAATCTTAAAGGAAACAGACCGCTTACAACTACTCCCTTCGATTTGCATGACACTTTGATTGACCTACTCGACGTTAATGCAATAAATAATGAAGAATTAGCTATCAGAAGTAAAACTTCCAGACGTAGAAGCTATAGTTAATTTTTAGAAATACCTGGAATAGAAATCAAATATTTACGTGTCTTAATACCAAGGCTACTAAAGAAAGTAACATCGAAGCACAGTGGGCGCCTAAACAACTGATAATACACATTAATAGACTAAAATTCCTATAGCATATGTGCAAAGCTTAATATAGAGAAAATCGTTCAAGTTGTGGAATTATCACGAGTTTATGATAATAATAAAGAAAAAGCCTGGCGCGATTTTCTAGTAGTGATACGTACTTACCACTCCCGGAGGAAGCGTGTTTGAAGCAACTATTCGACTCAATAAATCAATTTGGTCGCCAACTGGTGCCATCAAAAATAGTAATATGAATGCTGAGCACAGCCGTTGCATGAGGAATAATGAACTCAAAATATATTGTTTTATTGCCTTTGAATAATTTCAGCGCCTTACATTAAGTGAGAGGTATGGCAACACTTTCTCGTTTAAGCATAAACCAAAAAAATTATATCGATTGAACATTTAAACATATTTTTTTCCCTTCGTGTGAAATGTGAGAATGAAATATTCTGTTAGATGTATGTATATTTTGCTGTGCGTTGTATGTCTTTTTTATTTCCTTGACTTTGTGGCTATATTATTCTAGTCTAATAAACTATTGCCCATTACAACTTATTTCATTACTCGTAGTATATAAGACAAGATCTATTTCACTGTCTACAAGCAACGTAAATATATGGTATAGGCTGCAAGACAACTCGACCTGAATATCATAATCGATATACAAATCTATACGTAAATTGGTAATATGTACTATGTAAATATGTAATATGTATGAAGCGCTTAGCATTCAAAACCCGCTCTCTATTACGGCTGCTGAATAAGAAGATCAAAGTACTGAACTTCTAAGTAATCTTGGATGGGGTTACATGTCGAATATTTTATTTCTCTTTCTCACACAAATTAAACGTAATTTTAATGAAAAAGGAAGAAACATTTCGTATTCATATTAATATTCATTTTTTATTGCTTTATCAACAATATATTAACTACGTCAGTGGCCGAACGGTTACCATGCTGATCTGCCACGTAAAGGTCCCGGGTTCGATTCCCCGGGCCGGAAGAAATATTTGTATGTCCTATATTTATTTCTCCAATGAGTGTGTGCGTTGATAAAAAAATTGTTTAACCAGGAATGGGAGAACGCTCGATTCCTATGTAGATCGTGATCATGACTTTGATTACCACCACCGAGTCTTTTCGAACCATCATATGCAGTTTCTTAACTACCGCAAACAAGCGGCCGAACAAACGTTCCACCACCGTTCCACCACAAACCACAGGGATACTTTACTAGATCCTTAATTTACTCAGTCCGTATTATAACAACCGGTACAGAGCATTAGTGAGCGTGTTATATCTACTAAGTTATTGCTTTCCCAAAATGCCGGAAATACTCTTTGCAGTGGACTGTATCATGGGATTCAGGTCTATTGAAAAGTGAGCAAGACCAAAGGAAATATACTTACAATTTATTTAAATAATGTACAGCTACGAATCAAACAGAATAAAAACAATGACAATAACAAAGAAAAAGGCGCCAAAAACAAGTACATTCAAATTTAGAATTTCAATCGAACTAAACTAAACTGCTAAAAACACTAGAAAAAAATACATGTACAAAAAGATTATATGTAGACAACGCTACGGTACAGCGTGATCACAGGTTCAAGTCTTATCGGGTTGAAGGACTTTTTCTGTGTTCCATTTTTGTATAGATAATTAGGTTTAACAAACTATAGTCCATTTGTTTAGGTACTTAACTAAATGTAAACAATCTTGAGATGTCTATTGAATGAAATATACATTATAAAATGATTTTATCTAACTTTATGTAAATACAAAATACAAATAATTGGCTTCATATGAAATTGCATGCCTATTTTTATACCTATTATTTGTAAAGCATATGTTTCAATAAAAAGATGTATCAAGTTAGGTACGAGTACCTAAACAAATGGACTATAGAGGAGTTATTTCACAAAAATATATGAATATCACGGCGGTAGAAGATATCACGAAATAAAAAAAAATCAATAATTATGTAAGTGTAATATTTAAAGAGCTACATTCTTTTAAAGTATGCCATTTCTTTATGTTGGAAAGGTACCATAACGACCTGGAATTCATCCATTACATCCCACCACTCGCTCCAAGAATTCTAAGCTCCCAAAGAATTTTATGCAAAAGGTCGGCAAAATTCCTCTGGTGCGAAAAATTTACCTTTTCATTCTATCTCATTATAATGTTCTCGTTTTTCGTAAAGGTATACCTCAGTAGGTATACCTTTACCTAACAGTTTAGGAAAATGTAAATTGGCTCAATAAAGAATTTCCTAATCGTTATACAAGTTTAACATAATATTTATTGATAAAATTTCCGAAATTATTAAAAATAATAATGCACGTTTATAATAATTATCAGTGTTTTATGCATTTTTCTTAATAACAAAGCATTAAAATAGAGCTTTTACAAACGCCTTAAAGATTTATCGAGAGTGACTCAAACAAAACTGTTATTAATGTACAAAACGTGTTCAGCTTCAAACAAAATCATTTGATAAATTGTAGTCTCTAAATTTTTCTCTTCACAAAGTTGAGAATAATGGTCTTCAGATTGACATATTGTGATGATGTGAAATTTCATGGATTACACTATACAAATGAGCAACTATAAAAAATAAAGAGAATGGTGTTTTAAAGCCTTATACAGAAAGCGCTCAATTTTCACTAACTCTCTGATATAATTGTTGTTCCAAAAAGGAACAAAAAGGGTAACAGATTACTTAACTACCCACACCCAGTTACCGACGCAAGTGAAAAATCGATATTTAAAAGCAAGGCATAATTATTTATTTTTTTAAATATGTTAGTTATTCAGACCCCACCACCAGTTTCGGACATATTTCAGTACTACCAACTCTCAGTAAATATTTGAAAACAATTCAGTAAATTACTTGAAAATAAACACACAGCTGATACAGCGTTTTTACAATGATGATACTTATAATAACTCTATTTTCTTATATAATATTATTTATATTGGATTCTATTTTGGGTCACTCTACAACCGATGCTGGTGTTAAAATGATGAAACATGAATAAATGAATGCAAGGCATGGAAAGACACGCTTGGTACTATATGTGTATTTCTTAGATATAGAAATGGTGTATTATGTGACCTTTGCAAGGCATTTGCTTCCGTGCGTACGTGCACTTTAATATTACGGTCCAGTTGCACATAGAAATGAAAAATAGAGTTTAGTAGATACTGTTGTGTTTTTAAAATAAATTGATGTTTTAAACATTCGTCTTAATAGTAACAAATTCATTTAAGGGATATTCCATAGTTCTGTACTTATCATCATCATTCTGTACTTAATAACACTCATTACTTACTATTATATCATATTACTTACTATAATACTCCGTGATGACATTCAAAATTTCCCATTTATGAGGTTAGCTATCGTGAAACAAAAACTGCGTACAGCTTCTGCATATTTGGATGACAAAATCTGTGGTAGCGATCCGTTTAATTCTTTCAGACAGTTTCTATCTGTGATATTTGAAATGAACGTTGTAAATCATAAATATCTATAAATGTACCAAAAATATTAACATAACATAACTGTCCAACCCCTAGAGTTTCTTACGCAATTTTCTCAAGGTAATCTTGGCTTACCTACGAAATAAAGATAAAATACCAAGTTGGCCGACGACGACTAGAGGTAGAAGAGACGTCTCAAAGAAACAAAAATCAACATAGGTAGCTCATTAAAAATGGCTGTAGCAAAAAGATCTTTTTTCGATCCTTCGATCTGAAAATTGACATTGAAATGGACATTGATATTTTTACAACCATTTTTGTACATTATTTCGTTCGTTGAAACCAAATCTAATGTAGCGAGGCGGAAAGCCGAGGTCCGGGGCGAAGCCTGGAGCGTCTGCACAATAAAGCCGACCGTGTCGTAGGCCGTGACCGCCCCCACCGTAGGCGGGGATTAGGGCTAGTTGTACTATAAAAAGGAGGTAAATCGATACACTGTATTATTAGATATGTATTAGATACCTGTTTAATAATTAACAATAATTTTTTAACAATGTTAATAATTTCTTCGTTTAACTTCTTCCGTTGTTGTCATAACATTAATAATAAATGTTTTGTCTCCTAGCTTCTGTTCAAAACGTGTCTCATCATACACCTGCTTTATTTCATATATATTCGTAGCTACGACAACAAAAATCAAATTCTTTATCAGAGCGTGTTTGGTCAAACTGTGTCATAAAATGATTAAGTCTAAAATACGCCATTAAGTAAGTATGATAAGTTAGGGTAAACAGTAAGGTGAAGCAGAAGGGTGCCTGTCCCGATCCTAAGACGCATGCGCACAGCATCTGATCTCAGCGAGTTCGTTCACAGCCACAGTCGCTTTACTGCCGCCGTACCGCACGATCTTATTAAACTTTTTTACCTCACAACGATGAGCACCGGCTCTCTACACACAGCCTCAAAGCATTATAATACTTTAACTCCTTGATTGCCCCACATTAACACAACAAACATGCGATATCGACAAAATTCGCATATGCGTACGATTAACACGCTGTTTGAATGGTGGGTCAGCAATTGATAGGTGAGTGTCCTTATTTGTTTTTAACAATTTTCGTTTTTTTAGTATATTCAGTAGTATCGTGCGATTTAATTTCAGTTTTATTGTGATTACTGAAGTGTAAGTTAACTTCTCGCTTCTATTTGTTTATAACCAATTTTTTAAAAGTGTGAATTGTTTATAAATGTTGCAAAGTTGTACTATTTTCTTACTTATGTTATGGTATGGTACGTATATAATGCTAAAATTACATAGCTTTCTTTTAAGAAAGTACCTTAAGTCCCTCTTAACTCTTAATACAAACGCTGATATTGTGCAACTTGATTTTGTTTAATTTCAACGTTTAAGTTTCCTAATAACACAAGAATTAAGGGTCTCAATTAATCAAAATGCTCAAAGGATACTACGAAACATTTAGTATAGGTAGTAAGTAGATAATTATGCGTTTTATTCACATCAATGCTGCACTCACTGTCTAGAAATTTAATGATGACCAGGGGTCGCAATAGTAGGCGCCTACTAGAGATAAGCACAATACTTACTATTGTTTGACTTAATTTTTTTAAATGTTTGCTGTAAGAACGAAAGAGTTTAACGACATAAGCATTTAAGCAAATGGAAATCCATAACGAAGTCGTTTGATTTCAGGATTATTGGTCAAGGTCACGCTGTGAGATCGCACCATGGTCAGGTGCTCATTATTCAGTATTATACTTGTTTAGACACCGGTGTACGTTTGGTTGCAGTATGAGCCAGCAGGTGAAATGCAAAGGCATAAGAGCGCGGATAGGGGCCGCGACGCGCTACCGGTACCTGTTCCTGCTGGCCACCGTGTGCGGCAGCGCCTTCCTGCTGCTCTCCATGCACCATGGCGGCGAGCTGCTGCTCCTTGCGCGCGAGCCCCTCGCAACCGCCTGGCATCACCACTACGACCTGCTCGACGATGACGCTTTCACCATAAACACTGAAGGCTGCACCATACCCGGCATGCAACCCTTAGATGATACCATCAAAAAGTACGTCATACCACCCAGTTCCCTAAAGGCATGTCACGAGACTAACTTCTCTCTCCTACATAATAACGCCACCCACATTTGGATAAAGAATGAGTATCTTGAATACTTCCGCAACCCCATCGGCGACGTCAATCTCACTTGTTGCTATAGAGGGTTCTACCGACCTTCTTCTATTGCTGACATTTACTCCAAAAAAGTAGACGATAGAGTTAAATATAAATCATGCATATATTTCGTAGACTCAATAGAAGTCGTAAACGAATACGTTCAAGTAACTTGCGAATATAATTTTCGATCTATATACGAACAATACTTTTTATTCGCCCCAAAAAAGCCATTAATGACTAACGGTGATAATTTTGTAGAAATAAACCAAAATAAATCATACAACATTATAATTATGGGCATGGATGCTATTTCTAGACTCAACTTTCACAGAACTATGCCTAAAACGTTAGCCTTCCTACAAAAGAGAGAAGCCATTGAGTTAAAAGGGTACAATAAGGTAGGCGATAATACTTTTCCAAACCTAGCCCCTGTACTGTTCGGAATAAAAGTTACGGATTTAAAGAGAACATGTTGGCCGAGAGAAAGTTCAACATTTGATAACTGCCCTTTTATTTGGGAGTGGTACAAAGATGCAGGTTACTACACCGCATTTGGAGAAGACAGTGCATTTCTGGGTACATTCAACTTCCAAAAATTTGGTTTCAGTGGCACCCCTACCGATTACTATATTCGTACGTTTGTGCACGAAGCCGAAGTGCATACTGGTAATAACAAAGACTTTAACACTTTTATATGTATGGGAAATAAATATTTTTATAAAGTTCTTTTAGATTACATTGAGAGTCTTACCAACACCTTGAAAGATTCCAGGTTGTTTGGCTTCTTCTGGGAAGTAACAATGAGCCATGATTATTTGAATTACCCTGTAGCTATGGACGATGATTATGAAAATTTTTTGATAAACCTTGATAGATCAGAATATTTAAATGACACAATCTTAATTTTATTAAGTGATCATGGAATTCGATGGGGCGATATTCGATTCACCAAACAAGGTCGTCTGGAAGAAAGGTTACCACTAGCATACATGTTGCTGCCACCTACGTTTCGTGAAAACTACGATTTAGCGCACAATAATTTGAAAATCAATAGCCAGCGACTAACAACGCCTTTTGATCTGCATGCGATGCTGGCGGATCTCGTTAATTTAGATAAAATTAAGAATGAAAACATACAGAAACTAATGGCAACCTCTTACTCACACCAAAGTTCAATCAGTCTTTTCCTCCCCATACCCAAGAATAGAACTTGTGAAACCGCGGGCATCGATGATCACTGGTGCACGTGTCATAAATACCATAAAGTGCCTCAAGACAGTGCAGCGGCCCTCGAGGCCGCCGGGAATTTAATACGACATCTCAACTATCTTTTGCGAGGACATGAACCGATATGTGCGAAATTGAAACTGGCTAGTATATTGGATGTGACGGAGTTGGAAGCAGGGACGCCTGCAGAACATGAGGCGGGATGGAAGGAGTACATGGTGGTGGTACGCACTACGCCCGGAGATGGAGTTTTCGAGGCCACCCTCCGCCATGATCACAGAGAATGGAAACTAGGCGGCACTATCAGCAGACTCAATTTGTATGGTGAACAAAGTCATTGCATGCACCATTACCAGTTAAAATTATACTGCTATTGTTTAGATAAATTCGGAAGTTCAAATGCCGTTAGACCCTCGTACTTATTTAAATGAAAAAAATGTATTAATTTTGATTTGTATTCTACGTTTCTCTATTTTGGATTTTTTTATGTATGTTTTGTTGAGTGTTTGCATGATCATATCCATACAACAAACGTGTAAGTTGGCTGGCTTATATTTTACACGACCGAACGTGAATTGGTTTACTACTGTGTTAAGCAGGTACGCATTGTAGTCTCTGTTAACAAACACTTGATGCCATAAAAATCCGATTAAGTCATACAATGTAGGACTAGTAATGTGACGCTGTTTTTATATGGTAGAAACACGCTAAGATTTGTCGTCCTTTAGATTATGGTAGTTAACCTCATTTGTGATGTGACGTTTCATTTATATGGCGAATGGCAATGAAGTGGAATTCCCTGCCTGCAGACTCATTCTCTGAACGTTACAACTTGGATCTTTTCAAGGCGAGAGGGAATAGTCATTATTTGGGTGTGCAAGTACACAAGCTTCATCGTCGACCACATTGTTGTCATATTCCATCAAGTGGTGTTAGCACTTATTTTTATAAAAAAAAAAAATTAAAAAAAGACATGTACTGAATTATTAATACATAATAAATAGGTAATCAACGACAAGTCATGTCTGATCTTTACTGCAGAAGTACGTGAAAATGATATACAATACGAGTACTGTCTTTGTGACTCTTTTTTTTTTCTCTATATTGGACGTAATTATGTCATATTTATGTAACATTCGCTGCTGATAGGAAGAGGGTGTTCATTTACCTAGACATATCTAGTTATTATTTTTACTGCTTATAAAATGTGGAAACTGTGATATTATGAAAGTTTGTGAGTACGTACGTAAATTGTACAAATTAGAAGTAGCTTTGCTGTACTTAATTCAACAGTTTTTAAATTATTTGCTCAAACTGTACCCGGTCTATTTACAGTACTGTGGCTGCAATGACGCTGTAGTACATGTACTATTATGTAATTTTGATTGATTCTAAATTTAAGTGACAAATACAATAAAGGACAATTTAAATCTGTAAAGTAGATACTTAATGTAAGTTAGCCTTTTGGTGTACAGTTTTATTGTGGTATCGTAAAACTTTAAGTAAAGTATGTAATCACTTGCCAAATTTTCTAAGTAGCTATCATATAGGTACAACAATCAACGATTAACTACTCGTTGGTACAAATACATTATTAAATAAGAATATTGAATGAAAAATTATAGTCTATACTTTCATCTACATTTATTTACCTTATACTCGTATACATATATATAATATTTGTGAGATGTAGAAATGTCATGTGTTCTATGCATATACACGATAACTTTGCGTTTTTAATATCTCTAAACTTTTTTTTTTAATTATAGTGTGCTATATCATATACTTTCCGTTAAAGTATGTAGCTGAAATTATATAAAACGCTTGAAACTGATTATAAAATTGCTGTGGTTTTAAATATGACGTGCATTTAAGTCCCGAACTGTTGTTAAAACCAGTTTACACACAAGGGAAATAATACCTATTGGTATTAAATTATTTTTTTTAATTAAGTTTTATTTAATATTGTAAATATTAAAAACTAAATAAATTAACCAAACGTCGTTCATATTGAATCAATTTGTTATAACGAAATATGTGTTTTCTTATATTGCGTGTTGCCGTGCGTAAAAGAAACATTACTTTTATAAACTGCTGACGATATGTAAAGGATGTAAGGTACAATTTTCAACAAAATAATTTCGAATCATTGTATATTTTTAGGTGCAGGTCGCACCTTAGGTACCTAATGAAGTGGCAATAGGTTTATGCGCAGCTTGATGTTCATTAGACCCTAGCCTAGAAAAGTATAAATATAGCTAGTCTTAATTAGAAATAATAAAAGACAAATGTGTAAATTCCATTATTTTCTTAAATATGTCGAATTATTGTATACTCGTAAGTATAACAGAAACGCACGAATGTATTTGACTAAGGAGTACTTATGCCATTGATAGTGCAAAGACGGATCACCGATACCTGCCTCCGAATAGTCTTTCAAATTGTTTATCTTAAATTTTCGGGCAAAGTAAAAAGAGAATTCCTTTGATTACTATAGTTAGAGGTCCTGCAAAACCTAATGTCATCAAAGACTACAGCATACCTACGCATTGCTGTGTAAAGTGTAAGGTATTTGTAACATATTCATATACGCGTATTCATTAGAATATATACCTACAAGTAATTTTATTTTGTTGAAATAAATGAAAACTGTTAAAATAATTAATTTATCATTTTACCTTCAACCCCTTACTCTTCCTCGCTTAAGCTTCTATGCCTTTATCGCCGTTCCAAATGCTAAGTCGTCTACTTACCCGCAGCAGTTAGCTCAAACTGCAGTTGACTAATTTTCCGAAAAATTTCAAATAGGTAGTAGAAATTTTTCCAAATATTTCTGAAAAATTGGAAAAACATAATTCAAAAGCTCATATTATGTTCTACGTTTAGATATATCTTTTTGAAGTTTTATTTAACGTGAATTATAAAGTAAAATTGTACAGTTTGATTATAGGTACCTATAATCAAAGGCTAAAAGCAAGTTAGTAAAACTAAATTTAAAAAGATTGCACAACAGCGAAAAAAGAATCTTAATAATGGCAGTATCTTCAACTTTTGACAGATGTCAACTGTCAAATGTGGAAAAATAGAGGAAAAATACTTGGAAATATAATATTGTAAAGAATGCTTTAGTTACTTGTTTGTCCATGATTGTTTTTTTTACCTCAGATATGATCTCCACAACAGCATTCTAAAAGTAAATATCTTGCTGCTACCCAAACGTTGACGTTTTTGATCAATGTTAAAGATAGTTAACTGACAACATTCATCGGAACTAACACTGGCCCAAGCCTAGTAGCCACCAATAAGAAATAATAATAATAATGTTTTACAGAAAAAAGTGAACTTTAGCCACTTACAAAGTGTTTTCACTAACTACTTGTTTTTAAAACGGGGAAACTTTTATAATATCTTGGAATGTAGGTAATTTGGAAACGAGATTTGAAAGTTGAGGAAATAGTGGAACAGTGATTGAGAGGCGAGGAATTATGAGATATTAATATACCTACCGCGAAAAGCCAAAATAAACAAGAAAAAAAAGAAAAGTGAACTTTTTAAAAGTGCAAGTTTAAAAAAACATACAGTGCAATTTAGATCTCCTCCCATTTTGAAGTCGGTTAAAAATTATACCTGACCTACAAATTTTATATTCGAACAAACATTAGAAAAATACTGGCAAATAATAGAAGAAGTTAAATTTAACTAAATCAGTATAAAATTATCTCGCATATTTGTGTAAATTAAAGGAAAATAAAATTTCAGCACTTGTTATTGTCGGACGACTGCCCCAAATAAGGATGGAGTATGCTACGTTCCCGCGGAAATAGCATCAATAACATTTAAAATGACGGAATGACGGATTGTCGTGCATAGCAGCTCATGCCTCATATAGCTATTTTGAGCTACTTCCCCTACTTTTTAAATAATGGCTAGCTACCTAGCTACTCGATTTCCACACAAAACAAATAAATCAAATATCAACACTCAACCACTTATCATACGTTATCAGCTAAAACAATTCCAAGTATTTTTAAACATCGACAATACTCGACTGTTTCCATAATAAACTTAGTTTTTCTAAAATAGAATCAACCCGTTGACTTCACCTAGCGCTCGCAATGTTAACGTTAACTAAGTCCTGCTATATCGTTATTTTTTGTTGTTAAATACATGCAGAGTGCAATCTATAGAGATATAGGCTTGTTCCCTTTATCCACTGGAAGTTGTTCAATTCCTGCGTATCAACTTTTTGAATAACAGCACTCATTTGCTTCAAAATCATGGTAACTAACTAACTAACTAACCTAACTGCTCCAAAACGACAATATTTCTTGAATCCAATTCTACTCACGTTTGGGTTCCGAAAGAAATAGTTTCGTTGTATTACACGATCGCTCAAGAATTTTATTGTTGTAATAAAAATTTTTCAGCAGCGATCACGGCAGAAAAAGTAACTTGTAGCTTATACCAAGAATTCGCTACAAGCTTGCAGGTGAATCATGACTTTCGTATGTGTCCAATGTTTTTACTTCAATACTAAAGATTTGTTCAATACTAAAGAAAAACTTGTATTTGAACGCAATAGCCATTCGAAATCACCTAACGTATTAATTAATGCTCAAGTTTGAGAGCATGTCTCGAATGAATTTTCTACGTAGGTACTATGAAATCAATGGCAAAATTGTTACGTACACGAGGCAGTATACAATTGCTTGCTTATACCAAACTACGAGATAATTCCTATCCTAATTTATTCCCAATATTCACAGGAAAATGTTGGAAGTATGTAAAACACAATTGTTTAAAAGATGGTGAAAAATACTTCGCTTTTAAAAAATGCACATTCCTATGGGACAAATTTAGCGAAGTCGGTTTCTTCGCGGCATTGGCAGCTAACACTACTGCAGGCTTATTTGGGAAATACGAGAGGATATTACCCAAAATTCTCACGGACTTCTAGCTACAACCATTTATTGACGAAACAAGATTTCTCTTTGAAGATAGAACATAATATGATTACCGCGCATGTTTGCAAAACAGATATTTCTATAAATTATTATTAAATTTCGTTAAAAGTGTTACACACAATGTATCAAATAAGAAATTATTTGGCTAATTTTGGGAGCAGTCAATAAGCCACGAGCATCCCACGTTATTTTCCATAATGAATCACAGTTATTATGATTAGAATGAAACATCAAAGGCCGTCCTTTATGTTTCTGAAACCATAAGCGACCTCACAAACATTGACACCACAGGTAGGTATCATAAATAAGCAAACACGAATGAGAACAGAAAGATTAAAATCAATGATAAATGCTAAAACTATTAAGTCTGTTTCTACCTATTCCAGCAAATGGAACATGTGCATCCTTTGACTTATCTGAGCGTTCATTGTGTTTGTGAAAATGGGCCTAAAATATCTGTGCAACCGAAAGCTAAAAGATTTGTTGCTAAAGCCTTACCTAATTACTCAAGTTAATAATTTGTTAAGAATTTTCCCCCAGTGTGCTCAATTAGAACTTGAAAGAATACTTCATGTATATCTGGGGTAGAGATCAATGAGCATAGTCGTAAATACTGTAGTTATAATTACACAACCCGTGTCGGGTGTTTTAGAAGGTATTCTAATCAGAAATTTCAGGAACGATAGGTCGTCTCAACATTTATAGACACCAGAGCTGTATCCAAGATGAGATTGTTAAAATGTATTGCTTCTGCCCCACGTCTAAACTTGCCAGAGCTGCCTCACAGTGATTGAACGTGATAATTGAATAATGAAACGTGCATGCAGCTTATAAACCCATAATAGATAAACACGGAAGACAGTACCTACCCATGTTTTTATTTATGTAAAATATACACACGTTTGGCCACAATTTACCTCATGCTAAGTAACATGTACCATCGATACTTACTTTTCCTTTTTTATTTCTTTTTAGTTTGATTCATAGTTCGTGGTCACCCTCCCAGATGAACAAGAACTGTCTGCATTCAAGGAAAATATATTTATTGAATTATTAGAAATCCTTCATGTGGTTATA